CTCCGATTCCCTGACGGGCGGAACATCAGCCTCGCTGCCCCCGTCGTCTCCGGCTGATGCAGCCATCGACGGGGGTGTGTGCTCCGCCCGCTGCGGGAATAGGCCCTCGACCACTTCCTGCAGGAAGCTGGGCTGGAGAGTCTCCGTAAGGGGGGGGGCCGACGTGCGGAGCTTTTGACGCACCGCACGATAAGGGCGACCCCAGGGGTCACGCTCGAGACTCTCCAGCATCTCCTCTCTACTGACATCCTTGGCGCGGCAGATGGCCAGCCTCAGAGTTTTCCGAGCTTCTCGGTACTCCTCATGAAACCGGTCCACCTCCTCACCGACCCCGCGGTGACGTCGCCGACTACGGGTGAGGGACCTCCGGGCACGTACACAGGCCGCACGGAGGTCCGCCAACTCCTGGGACCACCAGTAGACCTCCTTCCTTGGAGGCCGACAACCACGAACGCGGGGCATGGCCGCATCGCAAATCTGCGTAATCGCATCGCAGAAGCGACCAGCCCCCATGTCGACCTCCTCGGTCGGGGCCTGCGGAGACAGCCAAGAGTGAATAATGGCCGCCTCCTCTAGTAGGTCCCTGTTGAGCTTGGCGATAGCCCACCGCGGAACGCGGGAAGGGCGCCGCGCCGCGTGACCCCTACTGGGGTCCTGGGACCGGGAGAGCTCGAATCGGATGTACAAATGATCCGAGAGCGTCTCGACCTCTTCCAGGACACACCAGTTCCTTACTCGTGCGGCGACTGCAGGGGTAGCGAACGAAAGGTCCACTATCGACCCCCCCTGCTGTCGCACGCACGTGTTGGTGGAGCCTCTGTTCAGCAAACAGAGGCCCACCGACGCCGCCCACTCCTCAACGGCTTCGCCCCTGGCGTCCGTCGCAGGGGAACCCCACGGGACTTTGCGTTGAAGTCCCCCAGCACGAGGACGTGCCCAGACACTAGTCGCCGCATCGAGGCCTCCAAGTTGTTAAGGAAGACCTCGAAGTCGTTCAAACTCCGGTTGGGGGAGAAATATACACCATAAATGGTGATTCCCCCCCAATCGGCGGCAACATATCCAGTACCCTTGTCTCTTAGCGACAAGGGCGGGGAATGAGCCGCCGTGGAGCCGACGACTGCCACGGAGCCGTCCCGGTCACCCATCCAGTTTGGACGGGGAGGGACAAAATAGGGCTCCGCGACTACGGCAACACCTATAGACCACTGTGCCACGGTTTGCAGGAAGAGATCCTGCGCCGCAGCACAGTGGTTCAGATTCGTCTGGACCAGGAGGTTGGAGACTTGATCCATTACTGGATCGTCTCTACAACCTCCTCCATGGGCGTCGGCGTCGACGCAAGATTGACGTCGGAGGTAGCCTGGGTCGGCAGGCTAGCCCCCGGCGTTTGCCGAGAAGCGCGGGGAGGCTTGCAGCCCCCCTGCCCCATCTGGTGATTGGCAGGCTTTTTAGCCGCCGCACACACGGGGCAGTGAGGGGCGGCAGAGCACTCTGCCGCCTTATGCCCGGGTTGACCGCAGCGGAAGCATAGACCGCTGCAGTCAAAACAGCTCTCGCACCTGGTGCGAGTGTGTCCCGCGGCTAGGCACTTGAAGCACCTCATCGGCCTCGCGGCCAGAACCGTGATTCTGGCATTAACGAAGCCGACGAGCATGCTTCCGGCGTCGCCCAACGCTTTGGCCGACGCCACGGGACAGCTGACCCACACCGCACCAAGGCCTCCCGGACCCGGACGGACGGTGCCGACTCTGATGGTGTCCGCGGTGCACCCAGTCTTCTCCATGACTGCATCGCGGACATCCTCCGACGTTATAGAGTCGTCCAGGCCCGAGATACGCAGTTCCGCGCATTTGGTGGGCCTGGCGATCTTAACACCGTCCGTGGCGGCGAAAATTCCCCGCAACTTCTCGGCGAATTTGTCGGCCGTCGCCGCGCCTTCAGCCCCAGGGAACTCGAAAACCCGAGCTCCCGTCTGGGCGCGGCGCACCCTCATCCCCGCCTCCCCGAACTCAGTGGCGAGACCGGGCCGGGCCCCCTTGAAGAGGGCCGCATACGTGAGCCCGCCACTGGCCGCCTCCGGCGACAGCGTCACGACTACAGCCGCGGTTTTGGGCGGCTGCAGCTTCCGCGGCCTCTTTTTTGAGGCCGTTGCCACCGGTGGCGAAGGCTGGGCTTGGGCTGCTTTCTGAGCAGCCCTTCTAGCCCGCCTTCGGGACTTCTTTGAGCCCCTCGCCTGCTGCCAACCTTCGTTGGAGGGGGCAGGTGCGGAGGGGCCCGGCAGGGATGTCGGAGCGGGGAGCGGAGGGAAAGCCACTCCGCTCCTCGGCGCCGCTTTAGGCCTCGTCTTGGCCGGCATCTGGGCCGGCGCCTTGGCCGGCGCCTTGGCCGGCGCCTTGGCCGGCGCCTTGGCCGGCGCCTTGACTGGCGCCTGGGCCGGTGCCTTGGCCCCTCTCCTCGGCCCCTGGGGAGCCGGTGGAGTCGGGGCCGACGCCGCCGCCGCGTAGGAGACGCGGCCTCCCACCACGGGGAGCGCGGTTGGCGCAGCGGCCTTAGGCCGCTGCGATGACGCGAGCGGGGGGCGCACGACCGGCGCAGGGGGCAGTCTCGCCTCCAGGCCGGCCAGACGGCCGTCCAGCATACGCCCAACTGCGTCGAGAATTGACCGCAGTTGGGCGTCAGGTACCCCTGAGGTCGCGATAGGGACAGGGGGGGGCGCGGACGGGGCCTCCCGCTCGGGGAGGTTCGCCTGGAAGCGGGCGAACTGAGCGCTCAGCTCGTTCACCCGCTCCGTGAGTCTCTCGTTGGCCAACTGTAGGCGAGAGACATCGCCCACTAGGCCCTCCACGACCTCCGACAAAGCGGAGGAGGAGTCCTTAAGGGCCCTCACAAACGAGCCCTTTAGGTTTACGGACTTGGTGGCCACCTTTTGGATGACGGCCACCGCCGCTTTCGCCCTCTCCTGCACGGACACGGGAGCCTGGGGGGCATTTCCCCCCACCGGCTCCCGAACCTTGAGCAGGAGATCCGCGATCTCCTCCTCCGCTACGGCCTCGCCGTCCACCCGTACGCTTCTGTACGACTCCGCGTTTGAGAACGCGGAGCCTGACGGGGTCGAGACCGAGGCCGTTTTGCGTGCCCTCCCTCGGCGGCTACTTGCCACCTTTGGTGGCATCATCTCCTGGGACGTGTCGGTTTCCACGTCCCCTGAGCGTCCGCGTTTTCGGCTGTCGCTGCGATGTTCCGCTTCCATGGCCTCCGCGCCATCCGACGAAGCGGCGGATCCGGAACGCAGCCGATCCGATGCTCTTCGGCTCCCAGAGATCAGAGTCAGACTGACTTCTGGGAGCCCCATCGAGATGGGCGTTCCCGACGCCACCTCACCCTCAGTGGACGACCCATCGACTCCACTGTTCCTCTTCTCCCTTGCACCTTTCGTTTCAGTGTCCGTTTTGCTTGCCTTTTTTGTTTTTGTTTGTTTTCCGATCGTTTTTCTTAAGTTTTGGTTATCATTGTCCATAATAAATCCCACGAGTGGGGGAGAACTAAAGGTCCACCCGGGCAGAGATCCCCCATTACCCGGGCAAGCGTAAGTTTTTAACCCAACCGAGGGGTCCGCAGGTACCTCGGCTTGGAGTGCGCTCGCGACTGAACTTCCCATCAGCCATGCATCCCCTGGCCACGCACCAGAACACGGGATTCGGGGAATTTTTTAGAGAGGTTATCTTCCTCGCGGTCCGGGCGGTTAAGCCAAGACCCTCGTCCCCGATCAGAGCCGCGAGACTTAACCACAGCGCTCTTCTCGGGATTACGATATGCCGACGGTTGACAGGGAGACTACGTCCCCCTGCCTGCTCGGTGGTAGTGTGAGTACACGCCGAGCCCGTCCTCCTTTCTCCACCGCTATCAGCGGAGAAAACTGTGGCCCCTACAGGGCCCCGCCATCAGGTTTTTTACCGAGGTTTCCTCCTCCATGCTCCGAAGAGCGAAGAGCCAGCAGGGCAACCGGCAGACACGCCCACCCTGCTGGACCAGGCCTTGCCCGAGAGCCGATGAACGGCTGCCTCTTCTGCTAGAATATTGGCCGCTGGCGATAATCCTCTCCTCCAAGAGGACAAGGAGGAAACAGTACCATCGCCAGCGTTTCCAGGGTGCACCACGGGGAGGTTTTCTAGCTAGCACCCCACATTTTTGTCCTCCTGCGACAACCCTTTACTAAGAGAAAGTGTAAACCATACAATTATATTTACATCTAACTTTAACAATGATTCAAAATACACTAAGAATTTCTTTTTGTTTACATTGCCCCTGTTACCAATAAAAACGACTAATGAAGTATTTACATTGAAGTCTGATTTGGCATTTAAAACTTTTACCATAATATCATCAAAAGATGAGTGAGGAATGCAATAATTGCTAATTGAATGTCCCAAATGGGTATTTGACATTAAGGGACCCGTTTCCAATTTCATCACTAAACATTGCTGTGCTATAATTTTTGTACAATTCATTTGTTTGTATAAAGGAATCGCGAGGGAGGAGTAGCACGAAGGTAGGAAAGGAGCTAAACTTTTGAACTAAAGTGTCAAAGCATATTTATCTTTGAATGAACATAAACAGTTTTATATTCACTCAAAGTCATGCTATAAGTAGGGACCATTCTTTAAATATGTACATACACTGTATCGCCAATTTTCTTTGTGACTTCCTTCTCCTGATTGATCGGGAGATTAAAGGGAAAATGGGATATTAGTTGGAAGTGAACGAAAAAGTAAAAGATTGATGGTACGGATTATTAATGATACAGTGCAATGGTAAGCAGTTGATGATCGTGAATAATTGTTTGTCAACTTAATTCAAAACCTTAAGATTAAATAAATATGTATGACTTAACGATGCCGGTGACTTCGTCGAGTCGAGTTATTTTCATTATTATTTCCGTTTATTATCTAGCAATGAAAACTAATTTTACAGAAAAAAAAACATACATAAAATCCACAATGGACGGCCTTTTCGCAAGAAGTTCTTTGCAAGAAGAATCTTTGGTAGGTCAGGACTGTAAAGAAAAATATGTGAGGTTATGATGTCTATGTGTGAATTGCATAAAAATATAGTAAAAAAGAAGAATAGCAATTATATACATACATTTACGAGAGATTCATTACACAACGTAATATAGAGCTGAACTAAATACAGATAATATATTTTATGCTAGAATACGAAGTATACTTAAATATACTGTTTTGTATACACATAATTATATGTAAGAAATACCTAGACTAATACAAAAAGACATACATATGTAATTAGCGATACCATACAAATATTTTACACTGAGCGAAATCCAAAGCCGCAGCACTTACGACGAGAAATACTACTGCTGCGCTACATCGAACTTCCCTTTGTATTCGTTACTTTTCCTTTTATATCTTCTCTCTTCTTCTTTATATCTATCTTATATCCTATCACTTATTACAAAATTTAAAAAAGTCCTTTTAATATTCACAATGATATTCAAAAATTAATCAGCGGAGATAAAATATGAAGAGGTTATTGCGGTATTTCTCAAACGACCAGCTAAGTAGATAATCCGACAATTGATTTAGCTACAAACCTCTGCAATCCCTTGGGCTGTGGTGGCCTAATTTCCGTCACTAACAAGAAAATTGGACATTCGTTACTTCAGCTAACTGTTATACTATACGGAGTTATTTAGGAAAAGGTGGCAGCTGCAGAAAAAATAGAACTCACACTTTATTAAGAACTACTTGTGCCCACGAATCAGTTTGCCTTTCTTTGATAATACAATAATATGTCACTTATAATGTGCGTAACTTATCTTCTTGAGAAGGATTTTTTTTACTCTACTAACGATGAAGTAAATCAAAAAAAACTGCTTACACTTGAAATAATCACATAGGTACTTAGTTGGTTATGGAAAATCAACCTTTTTCTTTTGGTATGAAAACACTCATAGCTGATACCTCACCAGGACATCATTGAGGTTGTATATCTTCTTTAAGTTGACAAAAACTATACCACCATTAATGAGTAGACCGTTCGGAAAAAAAGTTAAGTATTGTATGGAATATTTAGTATCAAGTAAATCAAGAATAACTAAGTGGTTGCAATCTAAACAAAATTAAAGAAAAAAACTATATCCACAAGCTGATATATTTGAGCGCCTAAACAGATTTTCTTAAATCAGGGTTAGGAAGACCCTCGATCGTTTCAGTCAATTGGGAGCTGCGACTTACAGACACATGAAACATATAACAGCCCTAGAGAGCTGTTGTATCTCAAAAATTTCACGTAAGAAGTTTGCGCCAGGGATTAAGATACTATTGTTATTCAGACCTGTTTATTTCGGACTATGTATTGTTGTACACACACATGTTCTGCAAATAAATATATATTTATCTTTATAATACGCCTACACACATACGACCATAAAAAAATATACTTTTTAGAGCAGATGAGTTTGGCCTTTCCTAACTGGACTAGCCCAGAGGGGATAAGATGAAATAAACTCACGGATTATCGTTTCTTTTAAATTGCCAGACAAACTTTTTTAAATGAAAATACAATTAACTCTCAGTAAAAAAAGCATAATAATTTTGAAAATTTGGAGTAACAATTATTATAATTGAGTAAGAAATTAATGTCAATAAATAGAAATAAAGCTAAGTTTGTAACAAATAATAAATTATCGTCACGTCAAAAATAAAAATAAAAGACAAAAAAAAACATAACATACAGAATGAGTAGCTCAATCCCAGGCGGTTTTATCATCGAGATATTCTGCAATACTATAATACCCTATCGTAGAAAACTTAGATTTAATGGTATTCTTAAATTTGCGCAAGGATAAATTACTAATATCAACAAGGAGCTTATTAAGAAAGCGTATATTTTGTCCCATGAACGAGTTGCCTACTCTGTGGAGACGAGTGACATGCTATTATATACATACTAGCATTATATTTATTTCTAGTATTTACAGAGTGATGATGAGTGGATTTTCCTTAAGTGCTTGCTGTCGTGAGAGAGACATGCTTCTAACAGGTGTGATTCTAGCAGGTTACCGGAGCCCCCATAATTCTAGAGGAGATGTAGTCACTTAATATCAGGTAACCTATCTGTTCGTTTGCCCTCTGCAACTTAGAGAAACTGTACTGTACTTAGAGAAAAACTTAGAACGATACTGAAAGTAAAGTACAACATAATAATACTTAGAAAGATAGATTCAACACTCTACCCATAACTTTGCTTTCTTAAGTATTGTTTCGTGATACCACCAGAGGCAAACTTCGCGGAAAATAATTAAGTACCTGTTTGCCCAGAAGTTCCCAACTCAAATACAAGGCGACTTTAGGGTCATAGCTACCATATGCCCCTGTTATTAAGCATATTCTATGAAGAAACAAGGCAAATAGGTATAAATGATAAAGGAAATATGCCATTCTACCCTAAATCTAAGCAAGGAACGTATAATTTAAATTTTTGGTGGTGGTTCAATAACCTTTTGTGAGTATCTAAAATCAAAATACTCCATAGCTTTAGTTGTTAAGATACAACACACAACTAAGAGTGATTGATGTTTACTGAGAAATGTGTGTGACGTAAGATTGATTGACAATATGAGGAATGATTCTGTAAGAAAACAGTACGGGTTGAAAGGAGATGCAGTGGCGAGAATTGAGAAAAGATTTTGTTTTGTTGTTTGTTTTTTTTTTATTTAAATTGAATATAGGATGAATGATTAAATAAAAACAACCAATCACAATTTCTACCGTGGGAGACACATTCTTTGGCACATCTGGGCTCGTTTGACCGGAGTACCAAGGTACCGAGATACCACGGCCTCACATGTTAAACAATTCTCTTCCTCCACCGACCATTTTTCCCAAACTAGGTTAGGGGGCGGCTTTTAAGTCTACTGTGATACGGCTGAACTTCGATTGCCATCAGACCTCCATAACCGAAGTGCTAGGCGATATCAAAGTCGGACTTCTTAGGGCTGCAACTAATGTAATGTACCCGTTTTGATAAGCAATTCTATTGTTGTCTTTTCCTTCGGTAACTTCACTTACTCGATGTTCTTGAATTGCCTGTCTAATGCCGGCCATATCGTTTAACGTTCAAGGTTGTGTTGGACTATAATGTGTAGTGAAAGTAGAATATTACTCGTTGTTAAGCGCATCTTAACTAGTAGTTTTTTTTTAATCTATTGATTCGATGAAAAAGAAGGTAATAAAAGAAATTTGGTATACCGACAGACAAAATAGAATGGGATGAAGGGTTTCCCGATTTTTTTGTTTAAGAGTTTAGTTAGTTAGTTAGTTGTCGGGTAAAAGTAATACCAAAAATTTAATTCGAAGATAAAAATGGGCCAGCGCCATCTTTATTTGATAATAATATCATCCTTTGGTAAATAGGGTAACCAAAGTGCTATAAAATAAAATAATTTAGCATAACACTCTTTTTCAATTAGTTTTGTGTAGGGCGTCACTAATAAATATCCTCACAGAGAGATATTCCCTCTGCATGGTTATCTTACTTTTTTAACTGCTGACATAACACATAGCAGCAGAACTAATATCGTGAAACGGAATGATATTATAATACATTCAGGCACACCTTGGTAAGCAGTTGGGTTCAACAACAGTCTGACTAACTTTAGATTGGGAATATAATGAAATAATCACGGGATGCCTGCAAATCTTGATCCTTTACCACAGAAAAGTCCAGTCCAGTTTTCCAAGGCGCAAAGGAATAAATAAGGAAAGGATCTGAGAAATAGAAACTTCACAAGATCTCTGTATCAAGAGTTGAGAAAGCAATTAAGACGCTGCATAATCGTAGTCACTAAACAAAAGTTAAATTGACTTGTAAAACTAAGGAAAACTTGATTTGCCTTTACTGTGATCGAAGAATTAACTTTTAATTTGTATTTATTCTATCGGTAATTCAAAAACTACACATTATTTTTGTTTTTATGGCTTGTATGGATGGATCTCATAGCACAATAATCACTTTCTCAGTGATTGTACTTTTAAACTCAGTGTCCTCCTCAGGGACTCTATTGTCTCTAAACGAAACAAAACAAATTCCAAAAATACAAAAACAAATCTTTTTACAAAGTATAGCCGAAAAATTACTGACTTTCGTTTTTTTTGTACTTGTTTTCAAATCAATTAAAATAGGTATTTCATCAAAGGCCTAATTGTTACCATACCATTACATTATGTCAGCCTTTTCTTATCGATATATTCAATTTTCAATTGAACAATAACATTTCCGTACACTGCATGCAGAAGGTGGTGGACCGGATGCTGTAACACGTATTGGGAGCCATACGGATATCCAGCTTTGAACTTTAATGTGCTGAATTATTGATTGATATAGTTACACTGAGTTTTAACCTTTCGTGTTCCATAAGACATAATTACTTGTGGTGAAGAATTAATAATATGGAATGTTACCACCCCTATTCTACGGGACTCGACTACGGGAGTAAACTCTGCAGGATAACACCACGGCAAAGAGAAGAAAACTTGAAAACCATATACCGACCCGTCTTGCCAGCGTGGTATAGTAGACCAAGGCCAATAGTCCACCTATTGGACTGTTGACGGGCCTATTGTTCAAGTGGTTAGTGACCCTGACTGCTAAGCCGAAGGTTATGGGTTCCATTCCCGCCTAGGACAAATAATTGTGTGATGAACACGATGATTTATGCTGTGTCTGGGTGTAATTCATCTATGATATGTGTGTATTTAGAAATTTATAGGTATGTTTATCAGTAGTCTGGTTATCATAGCACAGGCATTGCCTAGTTTGGAATCAGACGGCCTTTAAATGAGAAGAACATTTAGTCATATACAGTTCTTGACCGATGTTATTACCAATTGCTAACAGGATTAAATTTATTGTTACAGATAATATGCACAATGGAAGAATACAACGAAACATACGACAATATGATGAACAGTTCGGAGCCCTTCCAGCCGTACTACGAACGCCCGGAGACTTACATAGTGCCTTTGGTGTTTGCACTCATATTTGTCATCGGGGTAGTGGGCAACGGAACACTAGTAGCGGTCTTTGTGAGGCACAAAGCTATGAGGAATGTGCCTAATACGTAAGTAAAGATCATCTTATCTTATGACAAATGGCATTTCATCAATCATCATCGTCATCAACAACCTTTCATAGTCCACTGTGACTGGAGCCTTTCCTTGGAAACTCATTCCTCAAAGGTCGGCAACACGCTTGTGATCTGAGTTGCAGGCGTTCAAGGGCGGCAGTAGTCCCTTTTCATCAGGAGACCCGTCTACTCGTGTGCCCGCTTTCTAAAAATAAGATATATATATATATAAGCCCGCTTTCTAAAAATTTAGATATATAAATAACTTATTTACTAGAATTGCTACAATCCCGTTGTTTTGTTGTAATTGTGCCACACGTCTACGCGGTAGCCGCGGAATTCGCATTGCCCTCTCAAATTTAAAGTAAACTATCAAAGAAAATAAATTTGAGTATTTTGCCGTAAGAATGCGACTTTTTAATTAACAACCAATCTGTGGAACAAATTGTCACCTGCGGTATTTCCGGATCGATAAGACCTTTAAACCTTCAAGAAAAGAGCGTACTCCTTCCTTGAAGGCCGGCAACGCGCTAGTAACTCCTGAGTTTATTTTTAGTTTATTAGGTGATTTGTCTGTTCGTTCGCCCTCTATATTATTAAAAGAGAGCAAAGAAAATAAAAGGGCAGCTGTCCACCAAGCATGATCACCTCGCCTAGTTCTCCTTTGTGTTAGAGGTACATATGCACACACCCCCGATCCTAGTCATCTTTTTTTTTAAAGACAACTCCCGCTCGAGGAATAAATCCTGTGTCGCTAGGGACTTTACAAACACACATGAAACGGACACAAAGAACACCCAGACTCAGAACAACAATTTGTGGATAACACAAAGTGCTGTCCCATGCGGGGATCGAACCCACAACACTCAGCGCTGTAGGAAGCGGCGAGGTGACCGCTTAAACCACTACGCCATCATTACATTACTATTATTTTTAAATATATATATTACATCTATGAATATGTAATTTATATATTTAAAAATAATAGTAATGTACATACAATAATAGTAATGTAATAGTAATGTGTTAAATGAAGGCTGCTGGTTGTGTAGATGACTACACAACCAACAGCCTTCACTTAACACATTTACATTTAAAACGGAGAAGGCATCGGAGGCAATTAACAAATTAATGAGATACTAACATTTTCATATATTTTTCATTTAATATTTGCCAAGTTCATAATTACGACGAAGCTTTAATAAGGCTAGTTTATACCTCGGAGGCAGTTAGTATGCTTCTACTAGCAAGTTCACCAAAACCGTTGCAGTTCCATGATTAAAACTTTATTTTAGCTGAGAAAACTTTGCCACGGTCTTGTGCATCAAGAAATTACAAGCTGTTTTAAAGAAAACATGTCGTGTATTAACTTTGGAGGTAATAAGAGAGAGCTTTCAAAGGGAATTTTAAAAAAATCGAGATTAAAAGATAGTAGGTAGGTCAGAGTAGATTTGCGCTCAATAGATGAGTTTCGTCATTCGCCTGTTGGTGAAATTTTGGTCGTTTTGGAAGTCTTTTATTTCATTGTTCAGTATAACTTGGACTGTTATTATATAGACTTCTGTTCCATGATAGCTCCAAATATATTCTAAATTCCTTTATTATTGTGTATAAAAGTTTGTTAAAAAAAAAGTAAAAAACTTTCTTTAAACAATTTATTTTTTTATTTTAAAATTTGTTTAAGAGTAAATAAACTGGCAATCGTCACAGCTCATTATTAAATACATTTTTATAAAAGTTATTGGATATCCCTCACTAGGGAAGTCCACAAAATTTCAATTCTGTGTTCTTTCTACAGGGTTTACTTGTGTCTAATGAAGGGATTTGGTGTCCACCTCCTGATTTCATGCTTAGATGTGCTAATGATCCATCCACACTATCAGATAAAGAACAAACACCCTCTAAAGATATCTTAAAAAGAAACACTTACTTCTTTAATAAAACTTACATTTAAAAATTATTTGAAATTGCCGTGCACATGGTATGTAGTTTTAAAATTAATATATTTATTCTTATATACAATTATAATATAAAATTCTTAAAAAAATATATTTTAATATAAAATTTTAAGGTTAGTTACACCAAAACTTAGATTTACTTTTTTTATGAATAAAGTAAATTCAAGTTAGAACTCGAAATATTAAAAAAAAACGATTTAAAAACTGTTTTAAATCGTCTTTTATGTAAACTCTAAAGTCAAATCAACACAATATAGCAACAATCTCTGTTTTGGCAAATATTTAGCAAAATAAATATAATAAAATTATACCTATTGAAAACCTATTATATGCCTGTGCCCATCTATAACCGCCCGTTTCAAAGGGGTTGAGCCTTATCAGAAGAAAGGGCAAATAAACTCACGGCCACTCTTTTTTAATTAACAGATAGATACAATGGGCATCATTAAATCAGTTATTAAAGACTAAAAGGTTAAAAGGCAATGAAGAGAAAACAAGATAAAGAAGATAATGGAATAGAAGTGAAAGTAAATTAATAGAAAAATAAATAAAAAACGCACCACCAGCCCACATTACATTTCCACTTATGATATTTTTAATGTTAATTATTTAAAACTTTGTGAAACAAACAACGTACATAAAACAAAATCTAATGCATCTACGATGAATAAAGTACTCCGTAAAACTAATCATCCTTAGTGGTGATCTCTTACCCGCAAACTTAAATTCCTGGAACGGCGAAAACATAAAAGAACGTGGATACAGGAACATTTCACCCCCATCCATCATGTTGAAGCCTTTCTATTTACTAATGTTGCGTTGTCATGGGACATGGCTTCGATCCTACAATAAAACCACTTCGGATGTAAAAAATATTTCATGAGTACATGTCTTACGGACTTTTTTTAAATAAATTTTATTCTGACTATAGTATTTCATGGAAACTGAAACATTAAACGCTTTTGGGAGCATGTAACTCTAAACAAAATGGTTTGGAATAACGTAGAATTTTGAACGAAAGGAAAAAGTATTTTTACAAACACTTTTTCTTTCTTGGAACTTCTTCGTGCTAAGCTAAACTTAGAAATTTTACAACGGATTTTTAATTTTATTAAGTAATAAAGTCATCTGTGGTTTTAATTTCACATAGTGTTGGTAGAGTTTACTTTTATCTCTGAATAACATACCACGTATACCAATTACGGTGATTAAGATCAGTTTATACATACGCTTCTCTGATCTGGAGGAGGCTTAGGGTTCCCGTATTCCGTGGTGTGGTCGCCTGTTTATCAGGTGGTGTAAGTTTGCAAGGGTCCTAAGTAGCCCTCTTGTTGGGGAATCCTGGGTCCCCTGGAATTGCCTCATTTGTGGCGGAACACGATGTGGTTTTGGTTGGTTCAAGTTTGAGAGACCACTTCACTCTCAGTGGTGAGGTGATGACCTGAGGGGGCCCACAGAATAAGAAAAAAAAAGGTCGCATGCTTGTAACTTCCTTCTATTCCAGCTCTTACTAACACTCTATTCTCAAAAAAATCCATCTAACTTTTTCCTTCTATCTACTCTTTAATCTATCTCTATCTCTGAAAAAAAAAAATTACCTTTCCTATTGCCTACCTCTCCCTTTCAACATTATATACTTTAGATTGCCCAATATTTAATTCCCAAAGTACCCGCTAGGCGGCCTCTATTGCATAACTTGGATCTACAAGGGAGAGCACCTGCTCTTTGGGGAACCAGGGGGAACCATATATTTGTGTGTAGAATATAGTAAGCTATAACAGTAAATAAATACGTTTTACGATATTAAAATTTTCATATAGTTATCTCCCAGTACTCCACGAACACAAGCTATTCTTCCATCCATCCACAAACACATCGTATTCATGTTTCGCATTTAGCACTTAAAGCAGGCAGTATACTCGTATGGGGAGCAATTAATTAATTTACATACAACAGTACCGCAATTTATTTTATATCCACAATACACAGCAGTTTTATTTCAAGATCTTGGTTGTATGACTATTTCTGTCTACCAAGTATTGCATTAAACTGTTATACGTTGCGATCGTGCATACTGGAATAGGCATATCGGTATAATACAACTTATTTATGGCATATCGGCCATAAATAAGTTAATTATAAAGTTATTTATCAAAACATTCAATTAAATTTTAGTTATATGTCTGTACTTGCAGATACATCCTGTCACTGGCTCTCGCAGACTTACTGGTCATCATCACTTGCGTGCCGTTTACCTCCATTGTATACACCGTCGAATCCTGGCCCTGGGGAGCTACCGTCTGTCGGATCTCTGAAGCTGCCAAAGATGTCAGCATTGGTGTGTCAGTGTTTACTCTGACAGCGTTATCTGCGGACCGCTACTTCGCGATTGTGGATCCTCTTAGGAAGTTACATGCTACAGGTTAGTGGATTTTCTTTCTGAGGTATATGTGTTAGTGACAAAATTATTAATTGATTTATCTTTTTTAGATGTATCTTCAATATACGTTAACGCGTCTCTTTAATATCCATATACTATTATATCTAACTTTTAAAGGTAGTTCGATTCAGTTACAGGTGTTAACTGAACCTAGTAGAATAAATATACTCAGGCTCTCTTGTTATCTAATTTTATGAATACATTTTATATGATGATGACTATATTTTATATTATTTTTATACATGGCGAACCCACTAAACTCTAAAAGGATGGATTCTAAATAGATTCTAAAAGTGGGACCGTATTCCCAGGATTTATGGAATACAGAGTTTGCAAACAATTTATAACCGTTTAAACTGCAAAATATCTTATTCTATTAATAAATGTGTCTGTTCATTATAACATAAGCAAAGTGTACTTTAATTTGTGATTGTTTTTAGTAATCGTTAAGTTTTGCGCTAGCAGTTGTCTTTAAAAAGAACTTTTATAATACGATGTACTTAGCTTTTAGATGCAAACATTTATGAATAAAATAATAATTAAAGAGCACCACTTTACACCAAACGATTTTAAATGATTATTTGCATTCATATGCACCCGTTGAACCTAGTGGTCACTCCAGTCATAGGACAGACATATGCTGCAGTCTCTGACCCACTTATCAAATGAGATTTGTGGTATTCTTTTCTCTTGCTATTTTATTCTTTTACCTCTATTTTGCTGTGTTGAGGTCTCGTGCTCGATTCCTGGGTCGGTCCAATGTTTGTATGATCTGCAAATATTTGCTTCGGAGTTTTGGGTGTTTTCTATATAATATGTATGTAATTAGTTAATTACAAAAAAATATATATTATATCTGTTAATATTCCTTTCATATTCATTTTCTTTTTTTTTAGTTTGGTTTTCTATAAACAACGTGTTTTTTAGTTTTTTTTAAACTATTTTTTTTATTTTTTTTTTAATTAGTGTATTTTCATTGGTCCTCGATATATCTACAAAGTTTGAACGAATTCCGACCGTTTAAAGTCAGTCAAAATCAAGCCAAAAGGAGTCGGTTACAAACAAACATACAGGTGAAGCTAATAAAAAGCGTGTAAAAATGAAATTCTGGAAATTTACAGAAATCCTATTGACACGTACACACAAAGTGTGAGTTATTTTAAAAACAACGAGAAAAGTTTGTGAAAGAACCTTTGAAGTCTTTCACATTAAACGAAACAATTTCTAAGAAAGTGAACAAACTTTATCAAGTATAGGGCTGACTTACTCTAAACTGAATGAAACGGAGCGGTGTTCATTTTTTGTATAATCATAGATCGATACGACTCTATTCCGGTTAATGTTATTTTGTCAATAAATTTCATATAAATTTAAAAAAAAAGAGCAAGTTCCGAACTTGGATATCTTGAATGTGTATGTTATGTGATAGTGGTATGGTGAGAACTTTTAATTTGAAACAAATAAACTCTCCTAGAAACGAACCAACAACCGTTGTGGGACGCCCACTGGCCAGGGGGAGTAACAATCAGCGCAAGATGGATGGCAGGAGCTGGATGCGAGAAAACGAAAATCGATCTAAGTGGTGCGCAATGGGAGAGACCTATGTCCAGCAGTGGACTCTCTTATTCTAATGTCACAAAAATTTAAAAAAATGATTTTATTGAATCATTCAGTTTTTGAAATGAGATCACTGATCATAAAGTCACTCATGCCATTTGACGCTAATGTCATACGCTAAGGTCATACATTAAGGTCAACTGGTAGAAAATACTTGAGATTTTAAAACTTCGAAATATTAAAGTTCTTTTATCATCACTTCGCACCACTTACATTGGTCTTCCAATTTCATTTCCCTGCGCTGTTATTAGTATGATTGATTACTTTTGTTCAAGATATCGAAACTTCAAATGGATGAAAGCTCCTTTCTTCATATGACGAGATGACAGTAATAAGAAAACTTACTCATCAATTGTAATTTTTTCCTTAAATTTATTTCACGTAATTTTTTTATTATTCTTTCTATAGATTAAATATTAAAATTTAAATCTGTCCGTGTGCTGACGGATTAAGAATACGGAGAGCCGACTAAGGGAGCAAGCTATGCAGGACAACAGCACTGCTAAGAGAAGGCACTGCAAAAACTTGACACAAACCCTATACCTACCCGTTTGCCCAGCGTGGCATAGTAGGCCAAACCTCCTTTCTAAGAAGAGGCCTATGTCCAACAGTGGACCACTAATGACTGCTAATGATTTTACTAAACTGTATTTTTGCAGACGATAGTGATATGTATGTACGTTTCGACAGAATTATAATGAAATAGTGAGCTATAATAATAATAATTTCAAAATTCTCACGGTTGTCTGATCCCAAACTAGGTAGAGCCCAGTACTATGGTAACCAGACTGCTGATAAACATCTTCATAAGTTTTAAATACATTATGTTATACACTAGTTAAACCCAGACGGGTTTAATTTGTGTATAAGATAATGGTATGGTGGTAAATTTGTGTATGTATTACACACAGGTGGATGGGAATCAAACCCACGAGCTTTGGCTTAAAGCCAGGATCCGTTACCAGTATACCAACAGGCCAGTTAAATATATAATTAATATATTATTTTTATATATTTTTACTATGGATGCTGATTGCCCAAGACCGTTATAGTTGGCGCTCCTTCGGGGACGCTTTCGTTCAACAATGGATAGCAATAGGCTGATGATGATATTATTTTTAGCATAAAAACATATTTGTGTACATTTATTTATTAGACTTACCAACAACTACTTATACTAATACAATTTTATTTTACATTACAAAGCTACATAATAGTATAGTAGCCTTTTACAGGCAAGCACAGCATGCACAAATTTTTCATAGCTGATAAATTGAAATTATACAGTCACAACAACAAACAAAACAGTGATTAATGCAGTAGCCATAGGCCACATTAAAACAAAAATAATAATTTTCACATTAGGGTTACTATCAAAAAGTTTGCTACAACCATTGATTGGTTGATAAATGTTGCAAATCGTACAGCACACACATTACAATACACTCGTGATACTTTTGCGGCATGTGGCAAGCGAGTCCGCGTGTACATCTATGACCGCAGAGTAACTATTTATGGTTCTACAAAGACGAGGTATAGTTGAGTTAGCACCAAGTACGGTTCTACGAAGTGGCGGATACAACGGGGTCACAGGTGCACGGGGATTTCTAATGGGAGTACGAAATTTTATTTTGCCTAAAAGCTCGGGGCAATCGATTTTATTTCGTAATAACTTAAACATAAACATAGCGTCTGTAGCGCTTCTGTAACGAAATCATTTTGAAGTGTGCCAATCTGCTATCGTACGACTTTATTTTGTGAGCTATTCCTGCGGTAACGGCCAAATGCCATAGAAACCTTTTCTGCACTCGCTCCAACCTTAGGCTATGGCAAGAGTAATGTGGTCGCCAGAATGTACTACAGTACTCCAGTATAGTACGAACGAGGTAATTGTAGAGTATGATTTTTGTATTGTGCGATTGAAAAACTCTGACGTTTCTAAGCAAAAATCCCAGCATTTTGGATGCTCGTGTAATGGTATTTTCCATGTGAGGTACAAACGTAAGCTTGCTATCAAATAGCACTCCCAAGTCTTTTATTTCGGTCACTTCTTGAATTGCATCTGTCCCGATATAATATATGGATGGCAGAGGGCATGGCTTTCTGGTGAACTTTTACTTTTACGTTCGAGTTATTGATGATATTTTTGATCATTGTCTTTCTTTCTTAACTAACGACTGATGTAAAAGACACTGAATAATAAATAAGAAGCAAAACAGGTTAACTGGGACTGGGGCTAATTTATATCAGTCTAAAGATAGAAAATAATATAATATTAAATACCGTGGGAGGGCCTACCTCGGCACACATGGGCTCGACCGGAGTAATGCCACAGACAATCGCTTCGCGCTGTTAATTAATTACTGCGTTGTATTTAACTAAATTAGTAAGGTACCGTAGGACCACCATCGACCCAATTTTCTGGGCCATAAAGAATAGCCACGCACTTGTAACTTTTCATCAAGTGACCCATCTGTTCGTTAGCTATAATCATAACAGAAAGAAGAAAAAAATTTTTTTTTTTCTAAATCACTGTTACAATCCTGTGGCTAAGCGTTCTCAGTAATTAATATTACGATACTTGTATTAGAAATGATTTGCATCTTCCACTCGTATTTAGTTAGATTTAGATGATAACAACAATTATAGGCACTTTAGTAACAAATACATAAGAAATATTAACTTAACAAAACCTCAGTTCAATTTACTTAAATTACATATGTGTGTGGGTGTGAGTGTCTGTTTTTGTGTGAGTGTGTGTTTATTTATTTATTTAATAACTTTATGCACAAAATGTACAATGGCGGACTTAATGCCATGGGCATTCTCAACCAGTCTACCGTACGGTGGTGTAGAAATGAATGAGAAGGTGCACTTTACTTTGGTTGAAAAATTTTAAGTGAACATAAAAATAACTAAATATTAAGAAATATTGTCTCGCACAGAAGGAGAAGAGAAGAAATGTGAAAAAGCAGTGAAATAATATAAAAAATAACAACGTATATATACCAGAATACATACATTCATATTCATATATAAATATTATATATACTATAATACTCGTATATAAAGTATCATATTTGTGATTATTCTACTATATTCTGAATAAGGAGAGTTCGTACCTTCACCCTAAACGACTGGTTGCCTTTCTGATTTCCTGGGGAAGAGCATTTAAGAGACTGACTGACTGACTGCACGGATGGCGTAGTGGTTTGAGCGGTCGCCACGCCGCTTTCTGCTATGCCGAGTGTTGTGGGTTCAAACCCCACATGGGACGACACTTTGTGTGATCCACAAATTGTTGTTCTGAGTCTGGGTGTACTTTGTGTCCGTTTCATATATGTTTGTAAAGTCCCCCGCGACACAGGAT